CACCGGGCTGGAAGCCTGGGTTTGCATCACCGTGCTGCCACTGGGCTGGAAGCCTGGGTTTGCGTCACCGTCACCGTGCTGCCACCGGGCTGGAAGCCTGGGTTTGCGTCACCGTGCTGCCACCGGGCTGGAAGCCTGGGTTTGCGTCACCGTGTTGCCACCGGGCTGGAAGCCTCGGTTTGTGTCACCGTGCTGCTGCTCTGGTGAGCTGTGCAGATGGAGACAAGCTACTCACCCTCTCTGTGCCAGGGTAATCCCCAGCCCACAGGGCAGTGCTACTGTGTCCTACCCACCGGAGGATAAGTCATATGCATATAAGCTTGAACAATTAAGTTTGCAAACTCATCCTAGAAAAAGTGGTCTCTACCTTACTGCTGAATCTCATAAAGGTCATATATGAAGTCCTCCCCTTGGGAAGCTCGGCACCAATGCCAGCCCCCGGTCCACCCTTCAAGGTACTCTTTTTGGATGAGCTTGCAAACTTACTGGTCTGACCTCATACCATGACAGCTCTGATGGCCATTCTAGGAAAAGAGCTCCAGAGTTGCTCTGAAGGGTGGACAAGGTGCCGGTGTCAGTGCACAGCTCCCGAGGGGAGCACCTTGAAGGTGACCCCAGGGATGGTCAGTAATGGGGTAGAGCACTTCCTCCAGGATGAGCCTGCAAACAGGACCGCCGGCCTCAGATACACGCAGGTGCACATACAGTTAACCTTGACCACGTGGGTTTGAACTGCAGAGCTGCCCCTACACTTCTGCCTCTGCCCCTCCTCTCCTTCCTCCTCCTCAGCCTGTTCAACGTGAGACAGGGGAGAGTAAAGACTGAGCACCACCCACCCCACCTAATGAGACGTAAATACTTTTCTCTTCCTCACGATGGTCTCAATGACATTTTCTTTTTTCTACATTATGTTAAGAACACAGTATTTAATACATAGTACATAAAAACGTGTTAACTGTGTTAACAGAAAGGCTTCTGGATCAAGAGTAGCTTATTAAGAGTTAAGTTTAGGGGGGGTCAAAAGTAATATGGGAATTTTCAACGGCGTGAGGGGTTGGCGCCTCTAACTCCTGCATTGTTCAAAGGTCAAATGTAGATGTAGTATATGTATGTATTAATCTAAACGTTAATTCATTTGTTTTTAACATCATGTAAGGAATTAAGCATAAAGTTCTGCTGCTTTTCTATTGGCTGTAACTGGCATCTCCCTAAGAGCTTTCTAGCTGTCATTATAGCAGTTGGTATCTATAAAGCTCTTTTTATCTTTGTTATAAAATTTACAATAATGCCATTATACGTTTGCATGTTCAGACTTGGAAAGAAAGTATCACAGGTTTCCTTTGAAAAGATAGCTAGCTTCTGCAACCATCCCTGAAAAAACAGAGTGAAGGTGAACCTCAGACGCCATAACCCCACCTCAACTGCGCTGAGTGTTCAGTGTTCATAACATGTATAGTTTGGGGTCATAGGTACATGCGAAACCATGAGATGGACAGCAGTAAAAGATTTCTAAGATATCACAAAGTTGTTCCTTTGGGGAAGAAATGTGTGTTTCATTTGCTCACCATCAACTCAAAAAAGAACCAGGCTTGTTGCAACGCTGACTCCCGAACGCTGCCGCTGCAGACGACCCACTGCAAAGCCAGCTCCTCGTGGAAAAGCTACCCAGAAGCAAATCCAAAGTTATTAACAAAGTCAAATATGCTGATGACGCAGACCAGATAATAATGCCAATAATGCAAATACAAACAAAGATATAATGAGAATAAGCAAAATAAGGCATGTGAACCGTTCAATGGTGCGGTGGGAACACCCATTAACGAAACGACTGTTTATGCATGTAAGACAGTGGTGTGTCAAACAGCGGAAAAATTATATGTCATCTTGGAGTAAAATGTAATTTTAAAAGGACAAGTAAATAATAGCCTCCTAAATTGTACCTGCAAACAAAAACTAGACCCAAAATTCACAGTTACGTAAGAACTTGCTTCTGCCTTTAATACATATTTTAACCTATGTAAATATACACACGAACTTTGCAGGTACAATTTAGGAAATACATTTAAACTTTGCTATAAGCCATTAATTTTTAAGATTTTGGGTAGTCTTTAAAAAAACTGCAGAAAATGCCTGCCTTATAATGGATATGCGTACAACGCATTTGCAAAGTAGTGTATGTTAATATGAAAAGGACTAACAAAACTGTGCATAAGGGAAGCAAATCAACGTGTCTTACTAAGAACTTTTCTAACTCATCTTCCTTTCCCTGGAGATTTAAAACACAAAACAGAAGCAGTTACAGAAACAGAATTAAGAGTTGATACATTTTTTGGCACTAAAATTTGCTGATCAAATTTGAATTCACTAGATTCTAAAAATAGTCAATCCCAATGAAATAAACATTATCAGGAGGTCAAAGAGCCTCCACTGGAAAGGTACGCCCCAAAAGGTGTCGGGAAAGCAATGCTTGCTCAGACTTTTAATGTTGTCACCATTATTATTGAGACAGTCTCGCTCTGTCACCTCGGCTACAGTGCACGGTTATTATTGAGACAGTCTCGCTCTGTCACCTCGGCTACAGTGCACGGTTATTATTGAGACAGTCTCGCTCTGTCACCTCGGCTACAGTGCACGGCATCATCACAGCTCACAGCAACCTCAAGTTCCGGGGCTCAAGCAATCCTACTGCCTCAGCTTCCCAAGTAGCTGGGACTACAGGTGTGTGCCACCACGCCTGGCTCATTTTTCCTACTTTTAATAGAGATGGGGTCTCCTTCTTGCTCAGGCTGGTCTTGAACACTTCACCTCAAGCAATCCTCCCACCCTGACCTTACAGAATTCTAGGATTAGAGGCCATGAGCCACTACGCCTGGCCTCAGATGTATTTTTAAACACAATGCAATTATTATAATATCTTACACTGGTTATGTAAAGAAATCTTGTATCTATTCAGTTGTTGAAATTGAAATCTTGTTATGTAAAGAAATCTTGTATCTATTCAGTTGTTGAAATTATTTTCCCCCCTATGCATTGTCTTCATATGAATCTACCTTTTTAGTTGGTAAGCGTCCCGTTAATGTTTGCAAGAAACTTGACGTCTCTGTGTGCGAAGACATGCGATTACAACTCCGATCCACAGCCTATGGAGTGAGATGAGTGAATGGCGAGACACCATTAACATCCGCAGTGATGGCTTTGCAGCTCAAGGACTATGTACAATTTTAAAATAGCTTTCTTGGGGTTTCGAAAAGCATCTATTTTGGTGTTTATCTCATTTTCACCATTTTTAAGCTGCTTTAATGACAACACATTAGAAGTATCAAAACTTCCATGTGATTTTAATCTTTAAAAAGATGCATATTTTAATGATTTTACAACGCATGTATTCTGAGTGCTGCAAAGAATGAAACTTAACTGTGATCTATACACATGCACGTAGCTGGTAAAAATAAACAAACAGTTAAAAACATACTTCTCAACTGGTCTCACCTTGGAAAAGAAATCGAGGATTTTGTACTCATTGAAGAAAATAAAAAAAAGTTTAGAATGATTTCTTTCACCTTTTCCCTCTTATCAAAAATCACTGTTCAGGTTTGTCATATACTACATCAAATATAAATAATTTATGATATTAAATAGAGAATTAAAATTCTTCTTCAAGGATAACATTTTCATCCAAAGCCAGCACGCAGATGAGAAGTACATTTTGAGGTATCATGCACATTAGCTATCAAGCAACTAGTCTTAAGTAAGGAAAATCTAATTTCATACTTTGCAACACGGTACAAATTAAAATGGACGTTTGCTTCTGGAATTTAATCTTATGGCACGGGGATCACACATAGTTAACATTTAATTTCAACTTATCATCAGGCTTTCTAGTCAATGATTATGAAGAAAATAACAAGATAAGAAATGCTAAATGAAACGGTACAACACTTCAAACCAGTGGTCCTCAACCTTCCTGATGCCGCGACCCTTTAATACAGTTCCTGTGGGTCGCAACCCACAGGTGGAGAACCACTGCTTTAAACCGAAGCAAATGGAAAACGCTGGTTTTTTTACACATAATTTTTTTTTTTTTTAATTCCTGGTAAGGATGTGCTACCTCTAAAGAAGAAACTGCTAGAAAACCATCAAGTTCAGGAGCAGCAGACACTGAAACACCAACAGGGGCATGGGGGGTGGGGGGACAGGAGGCAGGGAGGAGAGCATTACGGGCACACACTCGGTGGTATCATGCATCGTAGATGGTAATGTGCTAAGTAAACAAAAATACACACTTTGAAGCAAGCCACTGAAATCACAGTATATGCTAAAAAGTAATGAGCTACGGAAAACATCAGCAGCCAACAAAGAAGCCTCCAACGGAAACACCACCTGTGTTGGTTCTGCACTTGGGCTGGGGTCGGATCCCCATGGGGCAGCTTTGGGACCACCAGTGTTAACCCAGGAATTGGAGCGATCTAAACCCTGAGCATACAACAGAAAGCGGTTGGAGAGGGAAGAAATATTACACGTTGCATGCTACAAATCATTCTTAGTGAAACCCAGACCTTCCGATGCAAACACGTTTTTAATTAGTACTGTTAAAGCAACCAAAATTTTTAGGCACTTACAGAGTATTAGTTCAGTAAAATTATCTTATTAAATAACCTAATTCTGTAAAAAGTCACCAAGAACATTCAACAGAGTATTTAAAGGTAATTTCTGTTTATGTTAAGGGATACCTCTTGACGTACCAACAACTCAAGTTCCTACAGCATCACAAACTCCAAACTCTCTTTAAAGACTGTACAGGTTAGCTACAGATAATTTCCTCTGAGGTTTAAAGAAAAAAATGGAAGAAAAACACTCACTTATTTGATAAAAGGCTTAATTTCACTCCATCTCCCATCAACGGACAGCTGCATGTAGTGGCATTTCATAATCTACTTGGCCTAGCCTCCCCTTCCACTCTCTTTTAGAGACAGGAAGAATTAAGTAAAAACTTAAGAAAAAAATCTAATATTCACTTGTTCCTAATGAAGACAGTACACGTGGGGCTGGGTTCAGTTTTATTGTAATTAAACCTAATGAGATACTATTTTATTAAAATATCATAAGGAAAAACATTGTACGTGGGCTATGTACAGAAATTATATTGTCACCCTCACTTCATTAATTTGAAGTTTCTTTAATATGCTACTAATATGTATGACCAGGAGTGAATTATGTCTGTCTGGCTCTGAAAGGGCTGCTATGATTCCAGGTGAAGGGAACAGACGCTTTACTCTCACTTCCTAAACCCAACTGATCATTACAATCACTTGAGAAGCTTTATAAAATTCAGATTCGGGGCCCTACTCCAGAAATCCTGATTAGGAATCTGTAATCTAGGATGAGAACCCGAGAATCTGCTGATTGCAACTGGGGCAGGTTGTACAAAATTTTTAAAGGATTCACGGGTTAAGAATAACAAAGGCAACACAAGATGAGTGAAGTGTATCAGAACCTGAATATGGACTAAACCAGAAAGCCCCAGAGGAGGGACAGGTGAAGAGGAAAGAGTGGAGACAGCAGCCGTCAGCTCTGTCTGAGCGTCAGTGCACCTGCTGAGCCCCCGCACTGCACAGCAAAGGTGCAGGCCCCTTCCTCAAACAAAAAGCCATCATTGCTGAGGCCCAGACATCAGTATAGTAAGGGAGTGAAGTGCAGAAAAGGTCCTAGCGTTGAAAGATTAGAGGCTGCAGAGGAGAGAAACTGTGGGAGTTGGGGTACTGAGAGGACAGTCGGAGATTAGAGAGAACAAGTTGAATGAAACTGATTTGAGATTAAAAGTTGAAGTTATTGGTAATGAATTCCAATGTGAGTCCACGCCTGAGGCAGGGTGGAAGGCCAGGTCACTAGAGGAGGAGAGTTTCTGGAATTGCCAGGCCAATAAAATAGGACTAAATGAAGAGTGGCTATAAACTTCAGATTCCTTAAAATTCTGAGATACAGTTTTAATCATTATTGTTAGAGATGCTGATTCAATGATGATCCAACATGAAATTTAGGATTTCATGTTTAATATTTTGCCATGAAAAGAGAAAACAACATAAGAACCATTTAAATAAAACTTGATTGGAAACTCTCACCTTTTTCTTTAAAGACAGAGTCTCACTCTGCTATCTAGACCAGAGTGTCCTGGCCTGGAGCCTAGATCAAAGCGTCCTCAAACTCCAGAGCTCAGGCAATCCTCCTCTCTCAGCCTTCCAAGTAGGTGGGACTACAGGCGCCCATCACAACACCCAGTAGAGACAGGGTCTCGCTCTTGCTCAGGCTGGTCTCAAGTTCCTCACCTCAAGCAGTCCTCCCACTTCAGCCTCCCAGAGTGCTAGGAGTAAGGGATGAGCCACCATGTCCAGCTAATAAACTCTCATCTTTGACTTTCACAGAAATTAGTTTATATACATTATATATATGTAAAAGGAATGTGTATGTATATATGTTTTAAAAATCATTCTGTCCCATTTAATAAATTTCTTTAAAATGGCAAAAAGACATTCTTTTTGAGACAGAGCCTCAAGCTGTCCCCCTGGGTAGAGTACTGTGGCATCACAGCTCACAGCAACCTCCAACTCCTGGGCTCAAGCGAGTCTCCTGCCTCTGCCTCCCAAGTAGCTGGGACCACAGGCACCCGCCACAACGCCTGGCCATTTTTTGGTTGTAGCCATCATTGTTGTTTGGCGGGCCGGGCTGGATTCAAATCCGGCAGCTCAGGTGTACGTGGCTGGTGCCTCAGCCACTTGAGCCACAGGTACCGAGCCAAGACATTCTTATGTATAGACCTCTTTGTTCTGAATCCTGACATTAGATGATAGATCAAATGAGAAACAGGAGTAACTAGAGGCAACTTCTGACAGAGGCCTTGTCCAGAGGGAGAGAAAATGGACAGAGTGGACTCAATGAAGCTGAAGGTGGGGAGCTGAGCTAAGAAAGAAGATCGATGAGGGCACATTATCTCTGTAGAGGCTGCAACTCCAAGAAAACAAATTCCAGGTCCAAGAGGACGAGAGACCCCTGCCCCAAGAGAGAGGCTTGTTCTGTGCTCTCTGCGAGCGAGCAGGGAACAAAGAGCTCTCATTTTATTCTACTGGAGAGAGCTGCTAAACGCCAGGCTCCTTCTCCAGGGACCTCCCACTCTTGAGCCTAGGCATCATCCAGCTGGCATAAAATTGAACAAATAACTTCACTGCAATTCCCTGTCCGCACTTTCCACCTTGCCTAGTGGACTGTAGGCCTGCCCCCTGCAGAGCCCAGAGTGTTTGGCAATTCCTGAGAGGCCTGGGTGTCATGGGGCCGCTGGACAGCAGCACGGAAATGGTGACTTGAGTGGAAGTTGAGGAGTACAGGGAGAGAGGGGCATGTGGGACAGAGACATGCTGTGCTGTGGAGGTGCTCACGCCCTGGGTCAGACCTTGCCGGTGCACTTCCCTGAGCCCGCTGCCCACCAGACTTCAGCCCCTTGGGGTTGCCGGTGGCAGTGAGAGAAAGGTGCCGTGATGGTGTGCAGCAGCGGGCGGAAGTGCTGATGCCTCTGGTCCGAATTTGGAGGTATACTTCCCTGATCCCATTGCTGACATGAAGGAACCAGGCTTCAGCCCCTTGGGGTTGTGCATGGTGGTGTGCGGGGATCGGGGGTGGGGGGAGGAGAGATGCTGACCGTGTGGGAGAGAGCGGTATGACACGATGGTGTGCAGAGGTGGATGAAGTACTGACGCCTCTGGTCTGAATTTGGAGGCGCACTTCTCTGACTCTGTTGCTTACTAAAACCAGCCTTTGCACACTTGGGGTTGCCAGGGGTGGTGTACGGTGGGGAGGAGGTGCTGGCTCTGATGTTGATGGTGCCCCCCAACTCTGCTGTTCACAGGAGGGGCCAAGACTCCAGCCCAGCAGGTTTGCCGGCAGCAGAGAGGCAATGGGGTCACGAGGGTATATTCTACCAAGGAGTCAGTCCAGAGGCGTCAGCACTTCCACCCCCCTGCCACTCTAGCCTTTACAATATTTTATGAGGAGGACCCACCCCCTTAGCCATTGCAATCAGTCAAGAAAAGGCAATGAAGGATATTCAAATGGGGTCAGAGGAGGCCAAACTCTCACTCTTTGCAAATGATATGATTTTATACCTGTAAAACCCCAGAGACTCAACTACAAAGCTCTTAGAAGTGATCAAGAAATACGGCAGTGTCTCAGGATACAAAGTCAATACTTACAAATCAGTAGCTTTTATATATGCCAACAATAGTTAAGCTGAAAATATGGTCAAGGACTCTATCCCTTTTACAGTTGTGCCAAAGAAGATGAAATACCTGGGAATTTCTCTAACAAAGGACGTGAAAGATCTCCATAAAGAGAACTATGAAACCCTGAGAAAAGAAATAGCTGAAGATGTTAACAAATGGAAAAACATACCATTCTCATGGCTGGGAAGAATCAATATTCTTACAATGTCCATACTACCCAAAGCAATCTACAGATTTAATGCAATCCCTATCAAAGTACCAATCTCATACTATAAAGAACTTAAAAATACAGTACTTAGTTTTATATGTTATCAGAAAAAACTTCAAACAGCAAATACATTACTTAGAAATAAGAACAAATCTAGAGGCATAAGGTTACCAGACTTCAGATTATACTATAAATCAATAGCGATCAAAACAGCATGGTACTGGCACAAAAATAGAGATGTAGATATGTGGAACAGAATAGAGAACCAAGAGATGAATCCAACCACATATCATTATTTGATCTTTGATAAGCCTAACAAAAACATGCATTGGGGAAAAGATTCCCTTTTTAACAAACGGTGCTGGGAGAACTGGCTAGCTACTCATAGAAGACTGAAACTGGGTCCTCATCTTTCACCACTAACAAAAATTGATTTTCACTGGATAAAAGATTTAAACTTAAGACAGGAAACTATAAAAATACTGTAAGAGAGTGCAGGGAAAATACCTGAAGATATTGGCCTGGGAAAATATTTTATGAAGAGGACACTCTTGGCAATTGAAGCAACACCAAAGATATACTACTGGGAGCTGATTAAGCGAAAAAGCTAAGGGCACTGTGTGTAAAGCAGACAGTCTTCAGAAAGGGGGAAGATTTTTGCAGGTTATGTTTCCAAAAAGGTCTGATAACTAGAATCCACAGAGAACTCAAACTAATCAATAAGAAAAGAACAAACAAGCCCATTTCCTTCTGGGCAAGAGACTTGAACAGAAGCTTCCCTGAAGATGACAGGTGTATAGCCTAGAAATACATTTAAAAATGCTCATCATCTTTAATCGACAGAGAAATGACAATCAAAACCATGTTGAGATATTACCTAACTCCAGTAAGGTTATCCCACATCACAAAATCCCCAAACTGCAGATGCTGGCATGAAATGTGCAGAGAAAGAAACACTTCTACAATGCCGGAAGGAGTGCAGACTAATACAGCCTTTT